CTTCAAGTGCTTATGCTTCAAGTCATGTACTACTCTGTTGGTATAAAATCTGTTATTCACCTTTTCTGTTTATTTTTATATCCTTTATTAAGGCCTACAGTTTACTTGTATCCTTTATTTTGTTTATCGGGTTTTGTGTCAAAATTTATGATATTTCAATATTTGAACATTTTTAGCATATCGCACTGTTTTATACCTTGTAGGTACTTAGCGTAAAGATTTTTGCAATTGCTTTTCTCATGTACATATTTTATAGCACTTTGTAAATACAGATAAGCTAGAAACAGCAGAAGTTATTGACAGTTTGATATCAGCAGAAATTCCAGACTCAGCTGTTGATAAAAACATCCATGATACATACATATCCATCATACATCCGTGATACATACACAAATTATAAAATACATCCATGATACATTCATCATCCATGAAATTTTAAATCCCGATTTTCCCTGCATGAAAGATGGGAAATACACCAAAATATTTCCTAAAGAATTTAATCCCACACTGTTGCAATTTTTAATGGTTATCCACCCTATAGACGTCTCGATAATGGAAGAATTAGCAATATAAATGGTAAACAAGTTGATAACTGTTGGGTTGTACCTTATAATCCATGGCTTCCTAAAAAGTATCAAGCGCACTTAAATGTTGAAGCTTGCATGACCATAAAGTCAGTTAAGTATTTATATAAGTACATTTACAAACGGCATGACTGTGTCAATGTGTTCTTAAATGAGCAAGTTAAGGCGGCTTTCCACGGAGCGAATTTTTTCGCGCGAAGCAAACTTTTTCGCCACTAATTTTTCGCAGAATCAGAATTTTAATTTCCACGTAACTTTAACGTAACCTTAAGCGCGCTTTTTGGAAAACATGTTGATTAAAAGAAGATTGTTGTTAGTTCGAAGAAAATTAATTATTTTAAAAATATTGTAAATGATAAAAGAAAAAGAAAAGAAGAAAAAACGAATTTTGGTAAGGAAAATTTATACCGAACGCCTTCAGAAAGGAGAGTTTCATTTATTAGTCCAGGATTTACGTTTACACGACCAGGAATACTTTTTTAAGTATTTTTGTATGTCTCCAACAACTTACGAAGAGTTGCTTTCGTTTGTAGCGCCTATTATTGTAAAACAAAGAACTACCATGAGAGACCCTGTGAGTCCGAGTGAAAGGCTGACCGTTACACTTAGATTTCTTGTAACAGGAGATGCTCATTGTAATATTGCTGCAAGTTACAAAATCAGCACATCTACTATCAGTAGGATTATTAGTGAGACATGCGCTGCTATCTGGACATCATTTAAAGAGAGAAAATTTCTACACGTCCCATCAGAAAAACAAAAATGGAAAACAATTGCAAAAGAATTTGAAAACATGTGGAATTTTCCGCATGCTATAGGTGCAATAGATGGCAAGCACATCGTTATGCAAGCTCCTCATAATGGCGGATCAGAGTATTTTAACTATAAGAAAACGCATAGCATAGTTCTTCTAGCTGTTTGTAATGCTAAATACGAATTTACTATGGTAGACATTGGTGACTCGGGAAGACAGAGTGATGGTAGCGTTTTTAACAACTGCAGTCTTGGTTATGCAATTGAAAATAATAAATTGAATCTTCGTGATCCCGAATATATTGGTAATTCAGAAAAGGTGTTACCGTACGTTTTAGTTGCTGACGATGCTTTTGGTTTAAAAAGACACATGATGAAACCATACCCTAATCAAATCATTCCTTTAGATCAATTAATATTCAACTACAGACTTTCAAGAGCCAGAAGGGTAATAGAAAATACATTTGGTATTGCTACAACACGCTTTTGAATATTTCGCAGCCCAATTATTGCTAATCTTGAAAAAGTCATTTTAATTACACAAGCGATTGTAGCCCTACATAACTTTCTTATGAAAAAAAGATCAGCAAACAATTATGTCTACTGTCCCACAAATTACACCGATATCGACGGTCCTGCTGGATTTAGACCAGGTGATTGGAGACAAGATAATTCATGTTCTCAATGTCACAATCAGGTTCTAACAACTACTCAAAAGATGCAAAGCAAGTTAGAGATAACTTTAAAGAATACTTTAATACACCAGAAGGAGAACTGGAATGGCAACTAGACTTGGTAAATAAAAATTTGTAATGATGAACGTATAAGTCACTATTTAAATCGTGTAGTTTAAGGGTAAATGCTAATAACTATTACTCAAAAAATTGACATTTTTTCTGGTATTTCTTTAAGGACAAAGTAAATTATGTTAACAACTGATATAGTAAAATTGTAAGACTTTTACTAGGTAGAGCACATACACTTTTGATAATATAATAATAATTTTATTACAACAATACTTATAATCTTGAACTTCAAAATAATAATTTTTATGTTGATCTAAAGATTGCTTTTTACATATAAATATTTCATAGAAAAATTAAAATTAAAAGTTTTTGAACGTAATAAATAATTACACCAATGCCGATAATGGAAAAAAAGTCAAAAGTAAGAAGTACATTGATGTTCTTAAAAATAAAAATACATCGATAAAACAAATAAAATATAATAGAAAATTATTATATATATATATATACGTATATATATATTTTTTATAATTATAATTATTCTAGCTGTCATGACCCGTAAAATACGGGTCTTTAGGATATTGATGCACACTTTATCCGCGTGCTTACAGTTCATAAGAACTATTATCCGGTTTATAACGCAAGAAAATCTCAATCAAATGAAAACATCTAAATGATAACTTTCAATGTCCTAGATACGAAGATTAAACTTATTGATTGCGTAAACACTAACTTTAACATAAATGGCATTTGCGAGACACTTCTTGCAACTTATGTCAAAATTTAATGGTGACTCTAAAATCCTAAAAGATAGGGGGGAGACGCTTTTTTTAAGAAAATATTTATACCCACTCCAAACTTACCAAGCCACACCAACCCTCGTTTATTAATCTTTACTTATCAAGTCTCCTTAAAAATAACAATTGAAAATAGGCATTTTCCCTTAAATTCTAAAATATTTTAATTAAAACTGAGAAAATTGTTTTTATTTCAATAAGTAATAAAAACAGAAACTTTCCACGTAGAATCAGTTTTAAAAGTCATCGACCTAGTAAATCTGGATTTGTCGAAAATGGGCTTTATTTCTCACTCAATCTAAATTTTATCTTAGCATCACTAAAATTTATATTAGCATTTCACTATTAGCTCACTAAAATTTATATTTACATTTCAATTTTCAAATATTTAAATTAAAACAGATTTTTAAAAATGTTGATTTGACTTTGAGCCACGTTTTAACTAAATTGCGTTATGGTGCTTTGTAAAAAGTGTTAGTTGAAATTTTATATTCAACTTACATTCCCACCCCATTTCATATATTAGATTCGGACTAAAATTCCTACAGGACCCTTTTTGAAAAAAACTACAGTTAAAAGAGGATTTTAACCATTTATTAAACTATATCAAACTTACGAAGCAAAAATACTCTTTACTTGTTCCGTAACAAAAACTTGTATTTAGCACAAATTAGTGACAAAATTTTGCAAGCAAAAATCAAGAGGAGAGGGTGTTAAGAAATGGTGTTAAGAAAATAAAAACTATCGTTATCGTTGTTGCTTTTTATCGCTATATTACTATTAAGCCAGAATTGTAAAATCGAGGAAAAAGAAATCTTTATTTAACTTAAAAATTTCAAATGTTTTATGTAAAAGTTTTTTTTAATTTTTAAAAATGTTTTTATAAACAAATATAAACAACAAAATTTTTTTTGTGAATATATTTGATTTAATGTTAAAGACTTCACAACTTGGTTCGTTGCAAAATCACTTCACTGATTCGAAATAGACAGTCTAAAAGAAACAACTACGTAGTTATTATTACAATATTTATTAACAATCAACGATGAAATGTAATTCCAAAAAAAAAAGTAATTAAGGTAATTACAGATTATGGTAATAAAAATGTTAAAAAGATATAACTTACTTTGACATAATATTCGGTTCGTAGAAGGTCGTATATATATTTGGAAGCCAAAAGTAAAGTTGATTTTTATAACAATTAAACTAAAATTTAAAACCAAACATAAGCAAAATAAATTTATTAGACTAATTTTTCTTAGCTCTTAGTGAATGATTAAAAGTAATTAGTCTCAGCAATGAAACTATCTAATAATCAATTTTAACAACAGACACCAACGTGAAGGTGAGCTAAGGAGTCTGTCAAAAAAATATTTGTGCTTTTCTATTAACGTATGAAGCACATCTCTTTAATACTGTCGTGTCATGCAATTGTCAATTGTCAACTGTTTTTTTATAAGTAACAAAGAATGGATTTGCAGTAAAAATATCCAGTATCAAAGACTGTTTTTTTTTCCCAGTATCAAAGACTGGTTTTTTGACCAGTATCAAAGACTGGTTTTTTAACCAGTATCAAAGACTGGTTTTTTAACCAGTATCAAAGACTGATTTTTTCCCAGTATCAAAGACTGGTTTTTTAACCAGTATTAAAGACTGGTTTTTTCCCAGTATCAAAGACTGGTTTTCTAACCAGTATCAAAGACTGGTTTTCTAACCAGTATCAAAGACTGGTTTCTGGCTTAGCAACAACAAAAACAGTAAGTCAAAAATAAAATTGGCTGTGTTGTTATTTGTCAAAATGTATTGTCTCTAGTAGTAAAAAAAAAAAGTAATAATTTATTAATTAAGTACATCTGTAAATACAACATTTTGTGTGTAAAATTTGTTTTATGACATACCTTGTACTCATTGACCCTAAACAAAAGTCAAGGTCAAACTTTTGACAAAGTTGGAGTTTATCTTAAAAAACCTTGCTTTTCACAGGGTCAATTATATGTTGCATGTTCAAGAACAATATCGTTTAATAGTTTATTTTTTAAAGTTGATAAACATTCATTATGCTAACCTAACTGAAAACTGACGACGTTTGAGTATAAAGGGTAAATTTGAATCCGATGGAGCTATTGAACTCGAGGAACAAAGATCCTGTTACCAGCTGCTACCCCTGTTAGAACCTGTCCATCAATATAATTGTTGTGCAGTGCACGTACCATCAAACGTGTTCCATTACAAAGTCCGCCTTTAAGATCTAAATTTTTAAGTAGCATTACAATAGCACCTATTTTTAATTTTAGGCAATGAACAGGCATACCTGATGGAGTCAAACTATTTAAAAACTCGACTGGAAAATTATAAATTTCATTATGATCATCAGTTTCAATGCTATCTGAACTTAAGAAAATTTTAGTATCACCAGGTAAACGATTAAGGACTTCTTCATTTATTGCCAATGAATCAACATTTGTTGGTGTTAAAATAGCACAATTAGCATAATCAGCTTCCTCTGTGCCACCAAAAATCTTTTCCACAATAAATTCGTTATCGTTTACAAAGCACTGCTCAGGTATTTCAATACACCCTCGCAAAAGATCTTCAGGCTTGACAGGTAAAGTTCCACTTCCAAGCTTTAGAAGCCATTGAGAAAATTCCTCTTCTCCTATCTGAACCCTCACATTTTCAGTTAATGAAAACCTTTGCACATACTGCCAATGTTCAGAACATTTTAAACATGATTCTACAACTTCAGCTGGTCGACCTCTTTTCACAACTGGAAGTATTTGTGTTAAGTCTCCACCCATAAGAATAACTTTACCACCAAAAGGAAAATTATTATTACAAATATCTTGTAATAACTTATCAATGGCACTTAAAGAAAAACAACAGTGCTTATTGTAAAATTTTATTTTATTTTTTTGTATAATTTGTATAATTAATTATAATCATAATTATACGTAACACCCCCCTCCCACCCCCCTCCCATTTCTTCTCCTTCTCCCCCAACGAAAAGAGGGGAGATCGGCCCCATTATTTGAGACCCATATCCTATGGGCCCTGTAGGATATGGGTCCTGGTTGATTCCTCCTGTAGGCTATAAAAGCCTATGACAAATCTAAAATGATTCCTCCTGTAGGCTATAAAAGCCTATGACAAATCTAAAATGATAAAAGTAACAAAATGAATCTTATACAGTATTAAATAAACAAATTTGAATCTTATACATTATTATAAAAATAAAAAAGAAATTAAGAATTAAAAAAAAATAAGTAAACATCACATTTTACAGTTACATAATAATAACACAGTATTCATACTAATGAAATATAAAACTAAAAATTAACTTACCAGCAGCAGCTGCACTTGCAGCAGATGATGATGATGATGTTGTTGTTATTGTTGCTGATAAAGTATGAAAAAAATTAACTAAATAAAATATTAACAACAACTAATAATTATTCTAGTTATAATATAAAAAAAGCTGTTTATTTACCAAGAGTTGTGGAAGCTGCTGCCATTGACAATGATGGTGTTCGGGCTATATATAATCAAAAAATCTATGATTTCATAATACATAAGAAACTTTACAATAAAAAAAGCTAAATTCTTTTATATGTTTAAATAAAACAATATGTTTACATAATATGGTGATGTGTATACCACCACCATATGTATGCATATAATCAATTGATTTTTGAAAAGAACCAAGTTATAAATTAATAAAGTTAAAGATATTTTCATACAGGATTGCTCCTCCATCTTCTTTAAAAAAGTATTAACTAAAGAGAAAAAACAATTTTATTAACATTTTCTATGTAAAGTAATATTTTAAAAAATTAAATAAAACATGAGTATTACAGTAACAAATAAAAAGTTTAATAATCAATACAATCTAAAATCTTACTCATTTCTTCCATAGATTACACTAAAATAACATGAGCTATTGATTATGACACAATCAAAAATAATTTAATCAAATTATAAACTTAATCAGTAATAAATTAAAAAAAAAACTAAAAATTAAAACTTACAAAACATTTGTTGAAAGTTCACTACAAAAAAAAAAATAATACTTATACTAATACATTTTATGTCTTTAAAAATTTAAAACAATAAATTTTAAGTAAATAGAAAACTAACTCTTATTAACAAAACATTGAATAAAAAATTGAGTTTTTTTTACCTGATTGTGGTTGTTGTTGTACTAAAAAAATTAATACAGATTTAAAAAAAATACAATAGTAAAGAAAAAGAAAAAACAAATTATTAAGAACTTTTTAAAAAAAGATTTACATTCAATAAAACAAAAGGTTTTTTCTTACTATATTGTAATTGTTGTGTTTCTAGTTAAAATATAAAAAAAGATAAAAAGTAATATTTAAGTATTAGAAAAACAATTTGATATCAACAGCACAACAAATAAAAATAGGTTTTTTATAAAAAAAAGATTATTGAAAAACGTATAAAATTAATTTCTTACCAGGTTGTTGTTGCACTACAAATTAAAAAATGTGTAGTATTAAAAAATAAACACGCATAATATTTTTTTTTAATAGAAATATTTTTTAAAATTTTTTTAAAAAGAGACTTTACAATACATTGAAAATTTTTTTTTACCTGATTGTAGTTGTTGTTGCGGTTCTAGAAAAAATATAAATACCGATTAAAAAAAATACATTAGTAAAGAAAAGAAAACGACAAAATATTAGGAAATTTTTAAAAAAGATATAAATAAATTGAAACAAAAGGTTTCCTTCTTACCAGAATGTGGTTGTTGTTGAGCATCTGCTTAAAAAAAAAACAGATTAAATAATTAAATAAAAGAGAAAAAATATTATCAATGGCACAACAAATACAAAATAGGTTTTTTGTAGGTTTAAGGGGCTATAAAAAAGTATAGAAAAAATTCTTACTTTGTTGTGGTTGCACCACTAAATAAAAATATGTTCAGTATTAAAAATAAAAAAAAATACAGACAACTTAAAAAAATGTGGTTTAACTAAAAGCAAAGAGTAAAGTATATGGAAAGCAAATAAACGAAAAAACTTAACAAATAAATAAAAACAAAATTGGCGACTTAATGAACAAATAAAGACGACTAAAATTGAATTACTGAACAAATAAAATAATAGCGACTTACTAAACATTAAATCATCATCTAAAGCTTCTAAAAATTTAAAAAGAGGTCAAAAAGCAATTAAAAAAAAATCGACTAAAGAAAAAATAAAAAATCAAATGCTATTTAAACATTTAATAACTAATTTAATAATAATAAAACTAATTTAATCATAATAAAAATAAACATTTAAATAAAAAAACAAATGCTATTTAAACTTTATTTAAACAAATATAATTTTTATTTTCAAATTTATAAATCTAGAAGAAATATCAAACAATGTAATAATCTAAAAATAGTAATATGATAATGTTACTATCAATGTAATAAATCTAAATCCAAAAGTCAAAGATTAAAGAGATATAAGAAAAAATTTGTAAAAAATTCTTTTTTTAAGCCTTAAATTTTATCTTTTTTTAAGTATTTAACTAAGCATTTAACTAAGCCTCGTGGTGATTAAAACCGCGTGGAAGAAAAACTCGATTGGCATTTTGTTTAAAAAACCTAGGTTGGCACTTTGTACCACAGCCATATTCATCATATACAAAAAAGCTGAATTTCTGTTTTTGTATATTTGATCAACAAAGTTTTTTCTCAAAAAGACTTGGAATATGTCAAGAAAGTTGGAAACTAAGTGTTAAAAGACTTCACGAAAAAACAAAATTTTGAAATTTGTGAACGATTTTTTTTCTCTCGTTAGCGAAGTTGGTTCTGTGTCAAAATGCGAGGATCAAACTTTTGATTAATATCTTTACATATGTTGTCTATATACAATATCTATAAAACTTTATAAGTATTTGAATTTGTATTTAAAAAACTCTAAAAAAAAAATTAAAACAGTAGTCGCCAACGGTAGGACTCGAACTACGGCATTTATGTTCCGAAGCCCAGCGCGCTAACCACTCGACTACGCTGACTCACTAAGAAATAAAGATTCAAAATTATATAAAAATTGTTTCTAACGGATATAAATGCAAAAGATTAGAAATCGGTATTATGCTAATATTAAATAGTTTAACTTTTAATTATTTTTAGAAACAATAAATTTTATAAAATAATTTAGTGAACATACAAAATTAAAATCTTTAATTATGTTCTAAATAAAAATATACTTTTTAAGCCCCCTTACCATTTTTAAAAAAAGTTATGGTCGCCGCGTGGCAAGTTCATCAGCTTGGCACGCGGTTTTGTTGTTTAAAATGCAAATCAAAAGTTATATAGATTTTATACTAATTTTACTACTTTAATTAGTAAAAAACAAAATACTTTTGTTTTTTACTAATTTTCCTTGCTCAATTTAGTTGTAAATAAACTTGAAAAGTTTAACTAAAATAACATGAGTATCTCAATAATGACACATGCGCAAAAAAAATAAAAAAGAAGGTCGCCGATGGTAGGACTTGAACCACGGCTGACTTGGTTAAAAGCCCAGCGCGCTAACCACTCTACTACGCCGTCACGTAGTGTCTTGAAGACTTCAAATTATATAAAAATTGTTTTTTAACGGATAAAAACACAAAAGATTAGAAATTAAGCAAAGGTTGACGAAATGCAGTTCTTAAGTGAAAATCAAACTGTTGAACTTGATATATGTTTAAGCATGTTTTAACATTACATAACATGAAGTTTATGTACGTACAATATGAGTTTCACGTTTGCTCGCGTTTTCTTATAAAGCAAAGGTAAGGCTCTTTCTCGTCACTACCTCGGATGCAATGGTTGCCAAGAGTATCGTGTCAAACAGGCTCGAAAGCGCACTACTACTACTATTAAGTCCAGTATTATTATAAAGAGATATAATTTACTCTAAATCTCTTCATTCTCACCATATTTCATGTTGAAAAGAAGTGTTTTTATTTTTATCATAGCCCGTCTATTTTCTTTTATTGGAAGTTCTTTCATAATAGGAGTAAGGCTTCTACAAAATAGGGTAGTTTCATCTTCCTCAACATCTTCCATTGACTTTTTTAATATCTTGTCACACTCTACTAATGATTGTGACAATTGTGACAATGACTCATCATTTTGATTTTTGATTCATGCCTTCTTTTGAATGGGTGATCTGGTATGGCTTAATCTTTTTCGATTTTCAGTTAGAATTAATTCACTGCTAAAACTACTGGTACTTAGACTTGATTGTGTAAAACTACATTGTGAGTGAAACGATGACGGTTAAGCAACATCTGGAACAATATCAACATTAGATTCTGTTGGTTTGTTTGCACTTTTTTTATGCAAAAATGTCATTTGATCAAAAAACTCACATTTTGGTAAGTTTGAGGCTGCTGCTCCTGATCTGGTCATACGGTTACGTTTATCTAATCATTTTTTTAGTGTATCTTTTAGATTTTTTAACTTTTTCTGAAGAAAGTCCTCTTCTTTACAAAATTTTTATGCAAGTTTTTTCCAAGCATTTACTATAACCAATCTGTCTTTGTATGTGGGGTGATTCACGTCCCACAAGCTTGGAAGCTCACGAACAGCTTCTATAAAATATCTGTATCGAATTCAGTAGGAATAAAATTATCGTTTTCATTCTCTTTGTTTTCTTCTATTTCATTAACTACTTCTATTTCATTAACTGCTTAAAGCTTCCAATAAATCTACGCTAACATTTCTTTCTTTAAACCACTCAATAAACGTGTTACTATTGTCGGCCATTAAAATTTTGTTGTGTTTTTTTTTTTT